AAAAAAAAAAAAAGTGTTGTTTTGTTCTTTTGTACAGCTTTTAATTCAATAAACACTCATATACACTTCTTTTAATTTTAATTATAAAATTAAGCACCTCCATATCTATATATATAATTGCTGGCATGTAAAATTTAATACAACATTTAATAAAACCTTTAAAATTTTTCCTCCATTTTCAGTTACAAAATTTGTCATTAATATTTTTTGCTTCTCACATTAATACATCTTAATGAGTGTAATCATGTATGTTTCTATTATATTATATAATAGTTATTGCTAATACCAACTAATAATAATTCACAATAAATATAAATTACATAATTATAAACAATTGTTTCAAGTTATGTATTTTAACATCAATATTATCTATTTCTTTTGTATCTCATAAAAACATTTCTTTAAAAACAATTAGTAAATTATTTTAATAGCATAGTTAAACACCTTTAGAATCATATAAATAGTTGTTTTTTAATAATATATATATATATATATATATATATATATATATAATTTCTAGCTTAGCATTGTATTTCACCTATTTAATAAAACCTCTAAAATTTTCTCTCTATTTTCAGTTACAAAATTTATCATTAATATTTTTTATCTTCTCACATTAACACATCCTATTAAGTGTAATCATGTATTTCTCTATTATATTATATAATAGTTATTGCTAATACCAAATAATAATAATTCATATAAATATAAATTACATAATTATAAACAATTGTTTCAAGTTATTTATATTGACATCAATATTATCTTTTTCTTTTATATCTCATGAAAATTTTTTTATAAAAACAATTAGTAAATTATTTTAATAGCATAGTCAAACAACTTTAGAAGCTTTTAAACAATTGTTTTTAATAATAATAATAATAATAATAATAATAATAATAATAATAATAATAATCAACTGTTATTATCTAATGATAATAAACAATTGTTCATAATAATAAAATCGTTAATTTATTTTTCCTAATGATCAAATTTTTGAAAATGTAATATGTTCATTATCTAGAATTTTAATATTAAATTCTCAAATATTACTTACTAATATTTTATGTACATCTGTGCATGTGCACAGGATATCTACTAGTTTTATTCATAATATTCTAAGTTTCAAATTACCAATTCAATGGCAAAAATGATGCAAAATAAGCTCAAAACATGGAGTTGATGGTAATAGCGCTACAAAATAATTATTATATTCCAACGGAAAATTTTATGGTAATATATTCAAATGGAAATTTCAACAGATATTCCAATGGTATAACTTCTGATGGAATGGTTCCAACGGAAATTCCAACGAAACTATTACGTTGGAATGTATTTTTCATTGGAATTTTAGATGGAATTTGATGATTCCAACGGCTATATTTCCAACAACTTTTTTACCGTATGAATTTTCGTTGAAACTTTTATTTCCACCCCCGTTGGAAAATCCACCGTTGAAATCGTCAAAATCCAACGGAAATTACAATTGAAAACCCATTCCAACGGAATATTTTTGTTGGGATTTCCGTTGGAATCCTTTGAAAAGTTCTAACGAAAATAATTGTATTGAAATTTCCGTTGGAACTGCCGTTGAAATAATTCTTTCGAAATAGATTTTCGTTGTAATTTCATCATTTTCTTGTAGTGTAGTGCTCAATAGCACTTACAATTGCCAAAAAAAAAAAAAAAA